TCAACTTTTTTGAAGATTAATTTGCTTTATTCTTGATTTTCTTAAATATATAGGCTAAAAAGATAGATATTAAAGTTTTTATTATACATATTCTAAATTTAAAAATATTAGTCACGATTTGTAAGTTACAAATTACAATTTTCTAATTACGAATTGTGGCCAAACTCTTCAGATTTGTCTAATAGCAAATAATGACTATCTAGTTTAGCAACTTTATTTTGTCCAATTTAGTCTAATTTTAGCTATTTTTACCTCTTTTTAATCTTTTTTTTTTTATAGTTTTATGTAATACTCGATAACAAGATGATAGTGTAAAAGACATACTCCGGTGGTCCATGCTAATTATAGTTATGTAATTAATATTATAGTAATGATTAAATGTAAAAATAATAATAATCTAAATATTTTAAAGTATTATCCAGGTGAATATTTCTAAATTAGGTAATGTATTACCCTATCAAAACAATTTTGGATTCCCAAAATAGATAGGGTAAATTAAAATTTCTTATCCTATCTACCACCAAATTCAATTATCTTAGTATTATCAAAATTTAAATATTTACATGATATATATATGTGTGTGTGTGTGTGTTGTTCTTTTTTATCTTTTTGCCACACAAAGACAACTTATTATTATTACCATTGATTTGATAAGGCATTTTGGGACTTGATGGAAACTAATATTTAGTATCACATTGCTAACTTCTCAAATATTTTAACTTCTTCAATGGTGGGCTTAATCTTGAGCTATTTAATCAACAAGATTGCATGAAGTTATTCATAATTAATATATTTTTTTAAAATAAAAAGTATTAAAATGGATCGATGCATTCAATGTTATTAATAAGTTAGAATATTTCAACACCTTGCACTATTTTTTTATGGGATAATAATATGAGGAGGAAGCTCAAATGTTATTAATAAGTTAGATATTTAATTATTGTTTTGAGTTTTCTAATTCTATGATCCACATTTATTCATTTATCATATTGATTATGAAAAAGACTCACTTCACTTATTTTAAGAAAAATGAATCTTAAGTTTTTATAAAGTAAAATATTTTTTATGACTCGTTCGAATAATCTTTATTATCAATATAAAATTTTGAAAAAAAAAATATATTTATTTTTGAATATAAATCACTAATTCCAATGATGAAGTTTTGCAGAGAGATGATAAAAGAGATATACTTGTCTCAAGTGAGAGGCTAAGATTGCCTATTCCCTCTTTTATCAATGAAGCCTTTTCATAATTACAATTTTGTCCTATTCTAACTAACTCCCAATGCTAGCAATCTTGGTGAGTTATATAGCAACGTGACAAAATATGAACTATTCTTTTTTATTAAGATATTCAAGAATCTATTTTTCATTTTACGTTATATGAGATTTTTTTTTCAATTTAATTTAATTTTATTTATTTATTTATTATAATGGGATCAAACAAGTGGAAAAAATAATTTTTTTTTGGATTTTTGGAAGCAATTCTTTTTTTTACAATTTTATTCGAATCATCTCCAAATATTGGTGAAGAGCCTCTATTTATGAGGGGCAAGAGTTTATTCAAAAATTTTGTATGGAACTTGTTAGTACATGTATCCATATATTTTACCAATATATATATTTAATTAAAGATAGCTTCATATTACACTAAGACTTTAACATCTTAAAATATTTTATTTAACTAAATCTCATTCAAATGCGAGTAAGCCTAATCAATTAATAAATTTATCCATTACTTTTTTTTTTTATTTAATTAATCAACTATATTATTTTCATTGACTAATCAAATAATATTTTGAGTAGATCGTAAAATTTGAGTGACTAAAACACTCAATTCATCCAGATCATATGTTGAAGAGAATTCTTATTTGATACAAATGCCAACTGGTCAGACTTTTTGATTGAATGTCATAGTCTGTCAAATGTCTTACAATATACTCATGGGCATTTTCACGCCTTCCAAGTACCTCCTACGGTTTGTTATACCCAAAATTAATTTTTCCTAAACAAAGAAAAATCTCAACAGTGATCCTGACGGGAACAGAAGAACACAGCAGATATCAACTTAGAGAGTTTAGAATAGCTTCCACTATCTGCAACTTCCAGAAAGTTACAAAGAGTTGGAGGTCCCTGCTGTTATGCCAAGTAAATGAAATTTTCAAAGTTCACATGCCAGCTGCTTCTGATCACCTCTCCTTGAGATCTGCAAGCATGACATAAAATAAGCAGCGAGTGTAAAACATAAATGCTAAAGTCATAAGCTTATTAGATACACGTACAAATCATAACCTCATCCACTCTTTCGAAATTCTAATTCCTACTTCTCAAGATAGAAATTGAACCCCTAGCATCAATATTCCAGGAGGGATGAGAGTGAATAAGAAACAAAAAATTAATATTGTCATTCTATATATCAAAACTATTATAACAATTAAAGATATGAATTAACTAGGAACGAATTAGGAATTGAACCAAGTGGATATAACTCTGATGTGCACTCGGTCCCAAAAGAATATTTGGTCTCAGTTTGAACAGATAGGCAAATATAAAGAACTAAAGATAAACCCAAAGCAATTAGCAGCATATATATCTTGAAACTGACTGAAGATCTCATTAAGCCAATAAATTGACGTTGGTATCATTGTCAAAAAGACAGTTGAAATCATTTATTCTCTCTGTTGCCACTTTCTGCTATCCAATATCCTGAGGGAGGGAAGGATTTTGATTACCATTTGGAAATCAGAGATATGAATTTCGAATGATTAAACAAAAAAATTATAGTCATGTTGATTAACCAATTAAGAATTCAGGCCATGACCTGGGGGAACCAAACGAACAGAACTTACCATTGTCATTTTGCTGTGATTCACTTTGCTTTTTTTCTGGAACATGCTTTTCAAGGAATTGCTGAATTGTTCTCCAGTAGTGATCCCCACCAGACAGCCAAGTATCCATATGCATCCCATTTGGAAATTCCACAAAGGTGCATTGTCTGTTACGAGCTGCTGCTTTAGCATACAACATTTTCATGTGCACTGGGGGAACCATCTCATCTTGCAATCCAGATATAAAAAGGATTGGCTGCTCAATCTGTTGTTAAGAAACTCAAATTATGGAACACATGCACGACTAGCAAGAGATGAAACAATTATAAGAACATAAAGGAGAAAATTAGAAGAATATCATTAAACAAGACATAAAAATCTTTGTTTCCAGTGCTCTCCAGATTCTCTTATTTGGCAAATTAATAAAGTCAATATAAGTAAATGGACCAGTACTGCCTTTTTTAAAGCTAATACATGTTTACAGTTGCTCACCAAGATTAGCAAATTCTTTCTTCCCCGCCCATATGAGCTGAGATTGTGCATTCACAAATCAAATGCAAAGAATAAATACAAAAAGAGAGAACAATAAAACAAATATAATTTAGATGGAGAAACAGGAACCCAACAAGATCAAAGATTTAGATGCATTAGCAAAACAGTCCAAAAGAATCGGCAAGAAACCAAGAGTACTTGCAGCATGTAGTCTTACCTTACCAATGACATCTATGGTGCTCCATGGAGAACGGACAAGAAAATTAAGAATTTTTGGACCTTTTGAGCCACTTCCCCCAATAAACCACTTCAGGAAAGGCAATAGAACCCCAGCCATGTCTAGAATAGATGTGAAAGTGTTCTCCAGTATCAATGCAGAAACCTGAATCACAGAGATTGGACAGAATGTGATAAACCTAGAAGATTATATGAGATTTGTTTTTTAAAAATGAAATAAATAAAGGTTCAGAAAAACAAAAAAAGAGAAATTTGAGAGGGATTAACTGAAACTATTAGTTGAAGCAGAAAACAGTTGTCTGAAAAGACAAAACTGAGTAAGAATAGATCCAAAACCCTGATCCAAGATGACTTGCAAGGATCAATTATAGAGTGCAGTGTGAAAAACCTTTCACAACTAGTGGGAATATCAAAATTTACTGTCTGGACAGAATGTATACACATGGAGCTGAATCATCTACATAAATCAACCAACAACAGAGAGAAAAAGATAACCTAGGAGAAAGTAGTATTTAAATCATGTCATTCTTTCTGAAGGAACAAATCTGTCTCATTGGAAATGACGCTAAGCATCTCACTGTAAGGCAACGAAAATCCCATTGTCATATGTACATCAACTTAAACGTAGGAAGCTTCCACAGAAGGCAAATACGGCTGTGATTTCCTCAATCATAAATTGACCTTATTAATTGGTGTCACATTATTAGAGTTATCTTGTGCTGAAGTACCTACTTTTGCTTGTTAAAGTAGTTAAAAAGATTTTTTCATGTGGACAATATGCATCTAATACCCACTTGTTATTCCAAGAAGTGCTACCATCACTTACTTTCAAATTACGCCACCATTTCAACTGATGAACTATGAGGAACTGCTGGAATTAATTTCACAATATCCTATTCAGGCTAAGCTAAATATTGTTCTAAACAAACAGTTAGTTTTGCACATACTGCTAACCAAATCATTTTCTTTTTTTTTCTTAAAAAAAAAAAAGAAAAACCACTGGATGAATTTCATGTCGCACATATGGCAGCACAAAAAAGTGAGGGTATATCCAACTTGTATATAAAGTGGAAGATCAAAATGTTGCTCCAACATCCAGGAAAAAAATAACGCATTTGATGATTGAACGGCACTTAAAAAATGGAGGGATCCAGTTGCAGAATAAAACTTAACAACCTTCCCTCTTGGTAATCCAGAGTAGGAGAAGACTAGACAATAATATGAAAACAAAATTACTTCAATGTTACCTTATCAGGATTGTTTTTGGTAAGCGTAGCTCCAACAGCACCCCCAAGGGACCTTCCAAATACAACTATCCTAGATGTGTCAATATCAGTCCTTTGATAAAGATAATCCAATGCAGCCTAACAAGAATCAAGTTCAAGAATAGCAACTGATAAATTAGGAGTTTAACATAACAGCTTTTTCATGAATACAAGAATCAAGAGGAATTCCAACCTGAGCATCCTGTATAATTCCATGCTGAGAAGGATAGCCATCGCTCGCCCCATAACTGCATAAATGAAAAATGAACTACATCCAGTTACATATGCTGCATGCATATGGTAATTCCCCCAAACTTAATTAAAAAAATAAATCAAAAAAAGTGCCACTAAAGAACAGCATTCACGTAGAATGTAGCATATACACACCCTCGATATGAAAGCATGAAGACATTGCAATGCAACCTCTGCAACAATATCCGAATCATTTCTAGACGGTGCGCAATATCTGTAGCATGTTAGTTAGGGACCTAATACAGGGTTTTTTTAGCAACAGTAACGGAAGCTTCTTGATCGCAAAGAGAAAAAAGGAAGAAAGCTAATGTCAAATGAAGTGAATATGTAGAACAAGTAGCAAACATAAACAAAGATCAATATCCTCGATGAGCAACAAGAATAACGATGAAGTTACTTAGGATACTTCCAGCATTCTCTTGGAAGAACAGAATGGTTGGACCTGTAAAATCAACAGAACAATTTCTAAGCCTTTGATAGCTTTTACTAATCAGAAACAAGAACTGCAAGAGTGCGTGCCAAGAAAACCAATTGTTTGAAACAAGTAAAAACAACATCTTAAGGGAAGGGAACACAAAATTGGTCTCGTTCGCTAGAAATCTGAAAGTCTAGCATTTTGAATTTCCACTCAAATTTCTAGGAAATCATTTAATTCTAAAGCTAACTAAATTAAAGCAACAAAAATGGCAACTTTTAGTTCACGAACAAAATCAAGGACAAGCCAAATTCTTCTAATGAATGCAACATCGAATTAGCTAAGATCATGTTTGGGAGCATAGATTTCTCGTTTGTTTCTTAGTTAATTTAAGGCCAAATTAAACTTGTGATGCTGAAATATTTTACAGATTGGAGGTGGTAAACCTCGAAGCAAACCAAATTGGGAAAGAAGCAATAAATTTGCAAGGCTCAGCACACTCAAAATTCAAATCCAACTGAAAAAAAAACCCTAACAAGATTTTAGAAAGCATAAAAGAAAAGAAAGAAAGAAATTAGGTGAAGAAGAGGAGAAAATGGATCGGACCTCGGCAGTCGGGGAAGAGCCTGATGAACCAAGAGTGGAGGCGGATGCCGTCGGAGGATCGGAGCCAGACGTCCTCATAGATGAGACGGAGGCGGGCGGGAGTAATCGGGTAGGACTTAGTGAGTCCGGGAAGCACCGGGACGTAGACAAGTTTCTCTTGAAAGGCGACGAGCAGCGCCATACCAGCCATCACTATGCCCCCAACTCCGTACAACAAGGCACTGACATACGACACCATGTTTGACTCGGCTTTTTCTCCTTCGCCTTTACTCTGTTGCGGATGACAATTTGTATCTACGTGGTGGTGTTTGTTGGATTGGTTTCCTATTCAGTTTGCTCTGATGCGCTGAGCAACGAAGCTCACAGGGGGGGGAATATTTGTGGGGGGGTTTTTTTTTTTAAAGACAAAAAAATTTTAAAAAATTGATTTCAGATATTATTTTAATTTTAGTTGAATTAATGTTTATCAATTTTAAATAAAAATATTATTTCTTGATTAAACAAAAAATAAAACGAAATTTTGAAAATATTTTATTTATTTATTTTAGTCTATTTGCATTTCGTAAAAATTTCTTTTTTAAAATAATAAAAAAAGCAAGCTAATACCGTGTTATTATAAACAATAAGTTTTACCTGTAAAATATAATAAAGGAGATATAACTATCATTAATTATATATTATATTGATAATTTTAGCAATAAAGAGTGATTTTTTTTTTTTTTTGTGGGGGGGTGGTATTTATGGGAAGATGAGTGAAACTATCGTGACTTTTAATTTTATATTTTATTTAGTAAAAATTATCTTTTATCTCTTCTAATTTTGTATATGTAATTATTAGGCAAGTAAGTTTTTTTAAGGGGATTCTAACGTAATTAATAATAGTAAAAATAATGATATTGAAAACAACAATAAAATTATTTTTATTTGTGTGTTGATTGTTCTGTAAATATGAGCGAGTAGGTAGATACATACACGATGGCTTTTTTTATTATTTTTGTATTGTATTGGCAATGAGTAGAAAGTGCATCAATGTTAAAAGTGTGATGGAATAACAAGGTTTTAATAATTATCAGCCGTCCAATTACTAGTTGTTCGATCTTTTTTTTTTTTTTTACTTGTTTTAAGAAAAAGAAATAAAGAGAAGGGAGAGAAGAATAGTAGTTAATTATACATGTCAATCACGCTTTTCTTTCTTTCTTTTCTTAATGTGAATATGATATTTAATTAATAAAATATATAAATTTTTAATTAATTATAATCTATCAGTTTATGAATATTGTAACGAAGATGAAAACATTTTATAGATGTTGATAAGATTGGTTTCAACATGATTCTATGATAACTAACTACTCTGAAGCTTATTACAACAAATCAATACTAATTTTATAAATAAATAAACCCTCTCAGTCTTATATAGGACCCTTCAATTTACCAAGGGGAAAATGAACCTGATTTAATGCTTTCCCAGACAAGTAAAGATTTAGAATACAACAACAAAAATCTCTACCCATTTGTGACAGTAATTGACTTGAATTTGAATTTGAATTTGAATTTGAATTTGAATTTGAATTTTCACGCCCACCACCGCTTATTTCTTGAACGTCAATCCTGACCCAAAATCAAAGCATTGGTTCTATCACCACCACAACTATTACCTGCGGCAGAAGAACCAAGTACAATTTTTACATCACTGAAACATGGTGAAGAAAAAACATGGAGTTAAATAACCAAGAATACCGGGAAGTTATCGACATTAAATATGTAAGAAAAGATATAAGATACATAAGCAGAAATGGCCATCTTTGTGCTTTGGCAAATAACCATAAGTGCATCCTGATGATTGGATGGGAAACTTGAAAGAAACTAAATTTCTAATCACACGAGGACCAGAAACGTATTACAGCTAACATGGGATTTGAATAATCACACAAAAATGGCGGAAAAAAAAAAAAAAAAAAAAAAAAAAAAAAAAAGAAACACCCATTATGATCTTATATACTGGAACAAGTGAAAATTTTGAAGAACTTCACCAAAAAGATGATAAGCCCTTCCCCTTTTATAATATTGCAGTAATTTTATCGGATTGCTTGAATCAATGACAGTATGTTAATTATTGAACTATAGATACTAATCCTTCTGGAAATGGAAAAGAAAGTACTCACCTTTTGAATTTAAAGCTTTAAGTCAATGTTTTCCGACATTTTGAAGATATCAGAATAAACTCGGTCTCCACCTAAGTCCTCTCCGCTAGCCCCTGCTGCAACTCGTAGTATATCCTCAATCAATGCAAAGTTCCCCATTATATCAACATGTGCACCACTCTGAGTGCCCCGCCCTTCCAGAAGATTAGCAGGTGGGGCATGATCATATTCCCTTATGTAAGTGCGAATTCCTGAAGGATTGAATCGAGTTTTACCACGCCAACCTTTTGCACACATGAAACCAGCACTCAAGACAGGAACAGTCTCATCTCCATTGGCAGAGAAAACTCCACCTTTTAGACATGGGTCGTCATTTCCACCATCGGCCGAGGTATCTATTTGAAAGGGAATATAACACTCAGAAGCAGGAGTCAATTTGTAGACATATGCTCGTTCCGTAGGGATTCCAACCCCATACATCGAATAAATTTCCATGTCCGGAGCATTTGGCAACCTGAAAAGTAAAGGATATTAGGAGACCTAAAAAATGACTACTAACACAGCCAATGAACTTCTATCATGCAAACTCAAACAATAAGTTTAGCTGTCATAACATAGGACAGACAATTTCAAAGCAAAAAATAACTGCCATAGGACTATATATTGTACATATATAAGGTTGTAGCTTTAGATCATCATAGGCAAGAAACAAACAGCTAAATCTTAACAAAGAGAAGTTGAAAATTATCACCTGCTTTCCAAGGGATTTGACCAATATTTGTAGTGTTCATATTTTGGGTCATTCAAATTATCAGCTATTCCATGCGAAAAATGAGCACTTCCCCGTGACATCAGCTTTGGGGCAACAAAATGGAGGAGATCCAATATTGATCCAGCTGTGTAAACTTTGTAATCTGCAATAGCTTTGATTCCTTCAAAGCCCATCTCATGGTATTCTGTCCACACATCACATTTGCTCCTGTTCGTAAGGTTATTACCCTTAACAGCATCCTGTCAAACAATAACCATTAATTACAACACCATCCAACAGATCTATGGGACAATTAACTAAACCAAGGGGATTCATAGAGTACAATGAAGACAATAATTTCCCCAAATGTGATATGTATTATCAGAAATCAAATATTAAAGGAGCAGAAAACAAGATGCTAAGATAACTAAATCAAGGTGCATGATAGAGTACAATAAGACAATAATTTCCCGAAATATGACATATGCATGACTAGAGATAAATAGCAAAGCAGCAGAAAACGAGGATACTAAGATCAGTTGATAAGAAAGTGGGGAGAAATCAAACCTGTCAGCTAAACTTCTATGTCATATCATAATCCCAAATAACAATTTTGGAGGGAGATATTGACAAGCAAATGTTAGACTTCTTATAGATCACATGAGAGAAGTGATAGTAACAGTAAATAATAAATTTCAAGTTGAAGATTACCCTAAAATCCACCCTCTTGATCTTGGAGGAAGGTGCTTCAGCCACATCTTTTCCAAATGATATAATTCTCCCATACTTCACTTTTTTCATTTTGACTGAATTCTCATTCCCATTTTGGCCTGCAATGTTTGAAACATTGTTCTTTGGCTTCTTACTACATTTATCGGTTTCTTCAGGTGACCAATCAAGACCACCCCATATAGCATCCCCGCCTTTTGGAATCATTGACATGGTTGAATCCCATGTACGTGTCATTCGCATCATATGTTGTAGAGTTTGAAGACCAAATACATCCTTATCCAAGACACCTGGTGCAAAAGCCCTGTTTGAGAATTAGCATATCTCAAGATCCGAAAATGAAATAGAACCTGGTCTTAGATTAATTTATGTTTTAAAGATTTATATGAAAATCAGATAACAACTATTTAGTCAGATCTTTATAGTTCCATGGAAAACCTGGCCATTGCAATGTCTTTGGCTTCAATAGAGAATAGCCCTGCAACTGCTTTTGGAACACCTAAAAAGGGTCCTCCAATATTCATAACTGCCTTTATATGTCTGGCACACCAATCTGATCCGCCACCACCACCCATGGGCATTGGTGCCTCAACCCATTTCATAAAATGCAGAAAATATAGGACCCCCATTGAATGTGGAATAATAACAGCTTTTTTTCCACTGGTAGCTACCATGAGTTCTACGTAACTCTTTATCCTACTTAGTGTCTGGTCTCTCACCTGATTATCCAATTAGGCACGGAAAGAATGAGCTAATTTGTGGAACAGAAACCGCAGAAATTGCTTAACAAAGACAATGCACTAACAGCTCAGAAAATGTCTTGGAACTGCGAGAATTAAAATTTTCACATAATACCTCAGTGTTCTGAAATGAAAGTCTCCAATCATATGCAGCCATATACATGTTTTTTTCCTCATACCCAATGCGAGCCAAATTAGCAATTAATACAGCCCAGACAAAGTAGCCAGCTGCAAAGTAATCCGCTGCCACGAGTCCAGATACAGGCCTGACCCTTATACCAGGAGAGTCCAGTCCAGTTTCATTATCAAGTGACATGTGCTCAACCCAACATAACGGTCTGCATAGGAATGGGAAAAAACAATGGGATAAACACCAAAAGATTATAAAATGCCTTGGGTGACTTAACTCTGAGAAACATCCAGGCCAGGTAATATACAATTATACCAAGTGAATGATAATCAAATAGAATCTTTTAAGAAAAATTAATAAAGTAGCAAACCACAAGGAATGAACCATTATTAGACATGAGATGGTTAGTTTTTTATTTTCTTACAGTGTTTTTTCCTACTCCCAGTAACATTCATGCTCTTAAAATTAATGATATGCTAGCTCCAAGATCAAGGAGCATAAACCCTGCACTTTCTACCAACAGTCTATTTCTTTTTCATTTTTGAAAAGAGCCAAAAGTCTATTTCTTGCAAAGAAACTGGGCTTGCCTCAGTGAGAATTTCAGAGTATACCTCTGAACACTCAAAAAGTGAAACACGTTCTTTCTCATGTCATTAGAAAAGCTGGTTTAACATCAGTAAATTAAAAGAAGAATTGCTTATACTCCAGAGCTCTGCTTTGCAGAATAGGCAACTCATACTTGAAAAATGAATCAATAAAACAAGAGACTGAAATGGATGGGAGAAAGATTCCACAAGCCTGTAGTTAACGAATGTCAAGAGACATAGGATACAATAAAGACCCATGGTAGATCAACAGGAATCTTAACTACATAAAGGAGAAAATTGGCCATAAAAAACATAATTCATAATATTTAATGGATTTCCAACAATAATCCTACATCAGAATTCTATGGATCTTGATATTGTTAATGATTCTCAACCTTTGAACTATGTGGAACTTATTTGCTAGCAGCAAAAATTAACTACTATGGTAGGCATTATTCAGGACTTTAGACCTCTTAAGTATGATTTTCATCCAATGTCTTGACCAAAATGTAAAAAAGTTCACTAAACTAGTACAACGCAATTGGAAAAAAACACCACCATTGAAGTTCTCTGCTCTAAAATACACCAGTTACAAAACCAAAAAGTTTCTGAAACATTAAAAGCTCAAAAGAAAAATCCATCATATACCCCCGCCCATTTCAACAAAATGTAAGCAGCCTTCTAAAGTTCCCTATTTCCTACAAAACTTCTGACACCAAACAAAGTAAGAAGAGACCAGACATAACATTTGAAACCTTAAAAAAGAAGGAAATACGTTAAGTCTCCCACAACTTTATACCTTGCTTTTAAATTAGGTTGACCTAAACCAAGTTTAGATGATTGAACACTGAATTAGGAAAATAATAGTCTCATTAAACAACAATATGTGAGATAGAGTGGAACCAACTTCAATCTTCCAAACCAAAATTTATACAGTATGGCATAAAATAATTTGCAACCAATAATTGATTGAACGTGAATCGCTCACCTCTCTGTAGTCTACAGATCCTGTATCACCACACACTGTGTTCAAACTCCATATCCATGAACATATAGGAGACAATGCATTTTGAGAAAAACTTTGCAAATTCAAGTGAAAGCAGTAGAAAACTTGACAAAAAGTCTACTGTATCGTCACTAAGAAGGCTTAAGTCACTTGGGTTTAATCCATTAGCCTTTTAAAGACAGCAAATAAAGCTTAAGAAACAACCTGACCCATTGCTTCCAAACGATATAACCCATAAGGAAAAGAGCTTTCAAACTTGCTGCTCCTACTTTTTTCACACGTTATTATTCTAAAGAAGATTGAAAAAGTAAATAAATAAATAAATCTAAAATTTAAATCCCCAACCAAAGGGTGTATCAATTATAAACCCAACAGTATCGGAAAAGCCACTAACCTTTTATACAATTCCCCAAATGAACCGCCCCATAGTCTCTTCCTAAACAACCCTTCGGCGCATTGATGGCCTTCCCAAAGCTCGAGGCCGCCGGTGACAATTCCGGGCACGAACACCACAGGGTGCCTCGACGTCAAGCCCTCCTTTCTCAATTTAACGCCTGGCGGATCCGGCAATGGCCCCGTGATGGCCTCCGTGACGTATTGAGGGAAGGATGGCGGCACTGCGTTGTATAGAAATAATAAAAACCACCACATGGAGCATATGAAGCCAATAAACCAACAACAGGTATTGACGCAGGACCATTTGTTTGGATGGGCGTTGTCGTCTTGGTCTTGATTTCTCTTGGGTCTGTCTTTCTTCGCATTTTCTTTTTCAATCTGAGAGTGATCTTCATTCTGCTTTCTCTTGGGTCTATCCTTCTTGTTGCCATCTTCTTTATCAATCTGAGTGGAGGAGTCGTCTTCGTTCCGAGGTCTGGAGCCGCCGGGTGCCTTTCTGCGCCTAGCGGACGACATAGTTCTAATTCTAAGGATAAGACCTCGTTACAATAAATGCTTCGATAGTTTTGTTAATCAAGTCAAAAGAACAAAAAGGGTCATAATAAAAAACATCATCAAATAAATTTGTGATGAACATAAACGTAAAACATGTGTTTTAAGATCTATGAAATGGGCAATGGAGTTTTGTCGTTTCTTCCAGAGATCTTGGCCTTGGGACCCGCCGTGACGGGATGAACAGGTGGCGGGAGGTGGTTACTTCATGAGGGTAACGGTGGTCAGCGAATCAGAGGTGAAGAGGAAAATCAACGGTGAGAAATTGCGTGTTCATGGATGGATTTAACCTAGTAGCTAGTACAACCCAGAAGCTGCTGTCTGCTGCTACCGGATTCTAATGGTAAATTTTAGAAAGTCGATTCATGGGGAATGAGCTTTAATTATTACCACTTTAATACTTTTTCTTATAAAAATTGGAAAAAAAATTAGAAACAGAGAAGTATCCATCCAATTCTGGAAATTTTATCACGTGCATAAATTCAGGTTTATTTTCAATTCACATTTTAAGTTTTAACTATAAAAACATTTTAATGCTTTAATTTTCAACTAAAATCATAAATGAATTATAGACAAAATATTATAAATTAATTTGAATTAACAATCCCAACTCTAAGGTCTTAAATTTTTAGACTTTTTAACACTTACCACCACTTTATATAGTAATGTACATTATTACTTATTAAGAAATATATATGATGCGGAACCCTAAAACTCTTGTTTGAGTCTTAGAACTCTTTAATCGATTTAGAACAGAATTTGATCACAAATAAAAAGTAATCAAATTTGTTTAATCACCCAAAGAGTAAAAGTTAAATAGAACCTAAGAAAGATAAATAATATTTATTGAACCCAATCCAAACAAGCACCAAGAACAATTAAAATAGGAAATCAAAATTGAAATACAAGTGATAGCAAGTGTATTCCAAATCAACACCTTGTGCATAAAGTAAAAAGAAAGCTAAAACGCTCTCAACTCAATTCTGAAATATTTGATTACAACTCTTAATGTCCACAAAGAAGAGTTCCTTTAATATTTATAGTCAAAGAATTTAATGATAAATTACAACACAATAACTAAAATTGTAACTTCCACAATAATTAGGCTTATTATGTGATAATTATAATTGTAACTCCAACAATAACTAGACTAATTATAAGCATGTAATTGTTATGTAACTTTTTGTAACTCCAGCTTTTTTAACCAACACCACTAATTGTTTGTGACATTATATAGTTATGAGTTCATTCTTATAATAACACTAAGACACGACTTAAGCCCAAATGGGTTACACTTGACTATATGAGCTTAATTAACTCAAATTAAAATAAAATAATTCAAAATACTTAAAACAACTCAATTAATCCAGCCTATACACAAGGTTTATTCACCTATTACCAATAAAACTCAAACAAGCCCAAATTATCCCAAATTATTTAAACCCAATTAAAGTTACAAATTTGAGCTATTCAAAAAGCTCATATTTGAACTATCCACAATTGGCCAGCTCATCATCTACATATTTTTGAGTGAAAACTTGGAACAACTCTTTAAACTTCTTTGCCTTTAATCTTCTTATTGGTCCGCTGAAACTTTCAAGGTTTGGAACTCTATTTATGTTCACATCATTTGAAATTTGCTCCAAGTCATCTTTTGATGCTCTTTGAGTATTTTAAGTATTTTTAGCCTTGTTTGCATCAATATATGATAAGTAGTTATATGTTAATTTAATATATATCATTTGACATGTTGTAAGAAATATGATAGAACTATTGTAAATTTGAAAAAAATATGGTAGTAATATAATAGAAAAATACGAAAGAAATAAGATAAAATATAAAAAATAGACCAAAAATTATTTCTTCAAATTCACCATATCATAAAGTTGTTTATAATCTTTATTCAGGATTAAATTATAGATTAATTAAGATGTTATGTAATAGAAAAAAATGGAATGAAGAGGTATAAACATCTGTATAATAGAAATATATATATATATATATATATATATATAAATAGACAAATATTTCTTCAAATTCATTGTATCATAAAGTTGCTTACAACGTCTATTCATAACAGTATTTGAGATCATTAATTAAATCACAAATTAATTAAGAGATTATGGAATTAGAAGAAATGTAATATGAAGAGGTTTGTGCATCTATAAAATAGAAAAATACAAAAGAAATAAGAGAAGAACATAAAAAAAAAGGATAAGAATTGTTTTCTTTTAAATTCACCATATCACAAAGTTATCTACAACCTCTTTCATAGGGATATGTGTGACTATGAATTTAATTATAAATTAACTAAGAGGTCATGGAATGGGAAAAATGGAATTTGAAGAGATATAAACATCTATAACTTATGAAATTTGAAGAACTCATAATACTCCTTATTGATGTCCATTTTACAATAGAAATATTGTCTACTTAAACCTTACCAAGAAAATCCAGTGGGATAAGATCTTAATCAAAGAAAAAGAGCACAACATGTAACAATTCTTGCAAAAAAATCATTTTACTTCTCTCAACTAACGAGTATTGTATACCAATTTCTCAAATATAAAAATAGGTAATGATTTGGTAAATAAATCAGTCAAATTTTCATTTATGGTGTCTTTTAAAGGTGATGGGCGCATTCTCAAGTGTACAAAATCATTCAAATAATAAAATGACAAATAAAGTATCGTTCTATAGAGATTGTGTATCAATATCAAAATTATAAAATTCTAATATTATCTAGAAATCGAAATTAAATTTATGGAGAGAAAATTCTAAATAATTTAATCAAAATAAATAATTAAATTAATGAAACTATCAACGGAGACTATCAGAGTAGTTAATTTCACTAAATCTTTGGTATATTCGTATTTTAATTTCGCAATTGAGTTAATCTAGTTTGGAAAAGTCCAACTATTTTAATGTACTTTCGATTTCATTCTCAGTATTAAACCACAAACATAATTTTAATTCAAGCTACATCAATTACTCTGGTGAATGAAACTTTAGTCGAATATAGTGAATTGATAAACATAGATTATAATCAAGAAAAAGATAATAAGTTAATAATTGAAATAAATTTTTTTAAAAAATTTCAACTAACATTTAATTTTAATAAGAAAATCATAACAATTTTTACCCCAAAAATATGCAATTCCAAGATTAAATAAATAAATTATGCAATTTATCTTTTCTGTTTACTGCTCCTCCGCTCTTCTGGTCCTGCTCGTCACATTCCAAGTACGCTGCTTCTGTGATGTGAACAAAGAAAATGAGAAGAATTTTTGCTTATCCTCTATTTGGATGATATTATTTTGTGGTTAATTAATGTAAGGTATGGTATTGAGATGACAAAATCCTATTTGTTTCCTGATTGTATGGTTATTTTAGGGTGTTTTATGGTATCCAACAGGAAAATTTTGGGCAAATTTTTAAAACTACCGATTCAGAGGTTTTTTACGAACTCATATTTTTGTTTTGGTTATACTCTGATTTAATTTTATTAATTCCCATTTCACCCTTGAGAAAACCCTCATTTCAGACTGCATTTTCCTTCTTTCACGCAGCAACTCGACCTACTTCTCTTCTTCTCGATCTATTTCTTTCGTCACGCGATCTACTTCTCTTCTTTTTATCTCCATTTGAAATCATCTTCCCTTATCTTCTTTAAAGCATTTTCTCCATCTGAAATCATCTGAAAGCACCATCTTTCCTTTGCAATTTGTTTCTCTTCCACTTCTATAAGACCACACGTTTCCATATGAAATCATCTTCACAGATAAAAAAAAAGAGCAAAAAATATGCTTTTTTTCCCTTTTTTTCTTCCGATAAGTTTTGTTTTCTCTTTGAAAAATTTCTTAGCTGTTTTTTTTTTCATATATTCTTATTGATTTTATGAGATTTTTATGTATATTATTTTTATTTTTTAATTATTATTCATGATGTTAATGTTGTGTTATTTATGAAAATCACTTATTTTTTATTTTTGTATTGTTATTAGTTTGGTGAAGTACATTAGGATTATTCATTTGGTTATAGTTTTCATTTTAGGTCCAATTGCTTGTATGCTTTAGAAACAGAGATCCATTAGAGTTGCTCTTTTCCTAATAATTCTTTTTTTTGGGAGAGAGTTGTTCCATTGCCCGAGATGAAGGTCTTATTTATCTGAAGAGTAATGCCACTTGTCTTTTTGTATTTGAGAAAAAACTCTAGTCTTTAAAAAAGAATGTGATTTGACATCAATTGAATTCACTAGCAGGTTAGAAGGAGATATAGAAACTTTTGTTGGATTGCATGGAATGTTAATGGGGATCTTGTTGAGCATAACTTTTTAAATATTTAGTATTTCTTAATTTTAGACAATATGGGAAGTTGAAATGATGCGAATATACATTTGGATCATTATGTTTGAAAGTAGAATACATTTCATATTCATGCAATATTTTGATTTCAGTTTAGATTATCATCAAGATAAATTTTGTTATTAAATTTTTGGATACATGTTTTATTAGATTCAAGAAGATTTGTCTATATGCAAATAGATCCAATCTATATTAGCTACTTTTGTGTAATTATTGTCCAAGATAGAGAATAAGATAGAGTCCTTTTTCCCTTTTTTGATTTAATGAAGATTTGGTGATTTTTAATCATAATTCAATGCCTCTAACTTTTACTTTCTCAAAACATGAAAATTTTATATAGTGTAAAATATTGTTTTACTTAAATCAGAAGCATATTGTAGTGTAAAATATTGTAGTGTAAAATATTGTTGGGAGTAGTTGGTTGAGGAAAATTCTTAATTCTTTGATGGAAAATATTGTATTTTTAATCAAAAGCATTTCTTATCTTGTAGCATTTATGTTTATTAGAATATGATATGAGTTGGATATGTTCAGAATGATATATAATGGAATATCACACAAATGGTGGAATGAAAAGAATTATGAGTTTTAAAAGATGATTGAACATGTTTAGGTTGGTGGTACTATTTAAGATGCAAATATCTAGTAATTTTTTTTTATGTTTACAAATAATTTTTGGTTTCTTACTGAAAATAGCTTAAACTATTTTCTTGCTCATAGAAAGAACTTGGTGTGGCTTGATTCAAATCATGCAATGTAACACCCACTAAAATCTTTTCTTTTTTAATTAATAAATATACATTTTTTATTTAATTTCATTTATTATATTATATTATATTTTCATCTTATTTTAATGAAACAAATTGAGTAAAATTGATGAGGATTAAATTGAAATAATTTGAGAAAAGGAGTGAAAATTAGGTTTTGGGGTATTTTGAAAGAGAATCGGAAACTGGGGGTCAAAATGTATTTAAAAAAATTTGC